TCAGTGTGAGGACTCAGTCATCAATCAGTGTGAGGACTCAGTCATCAGTCAGTGTGAGGGCTCATTCTGGTTGTTGACCTGAGGTGCCTTGGAAGAGGGAACCTTGACTGAGAATTGCTTTCATCAGATCGGCCTATGGCATGTCTGTGGGACATTGTCTTGATTGCTAATTGATGTAGGAAGGCCTCAGCTCACTGTGGGCAGTGCCAACCCTTGACAGGTGATCCTGGGCTATAGAAGAAAGAACAATTCAGGGGAAGTAAGCCAGCAAGCAGCATTTCTCCATGGTCTCTGCTTTTCTTCCTGTGGTGGCTTCCCTTGATGATGGGCTATATATAACCTCTTACTGAGTAAAGCCTTCTTCCCCAAGTTGTTTTTGATCAAGTGTTTTATCACAACAACAGGAGCAAGCTAGGACAGTGTAACAGACCAGTGTGATGTTCTCATGTAGAAAGGTCAAGATTCTTGTGAGCTAAACTACAGAATGAGGTCTGGGAGCCAATAAAAGTTTTAGGTAGGATAGTGAAGCTATATTTCAGCCTTGCCAGCCAAAAGCAAGACTACTACTACTGGGCCTTATGGACAAAGGAGGAGACACTTATCAGATTAGTAGCTGTATCCAGATATAAGAATATGTACTTCTAGGGGATGGAAAGATGGCTCAGCAGTTAAGAGCACTGGCTGCTCTTCCAGGGGTCCTGGGTTCAATTCCCAGCACCCACACAGCAGCTCACAGTTGTCTGTAACTCCAGTTCCAGAGGATCTGACACACTGAGAAGAGCAGTTCTCAAGATGGAACCTCTTGGCCGGGCAGTGGTGGCTCACGCCTTAATCCCAGTACTTGGGAAGCAGAGGCAGGCAGATTTCTGAATTCGAGGACAGCCAGGGCTACACAGAGAACCCCTGTCTGGAAAAACAAACCAAAACAAAACAAATAAACAAAGAAAAAGATGGAACCTCTTATAAGTCTGCCCTGGGCCTGCAAATCCTAGTACATGTAGACCCATGCTCCAACCCCTGTGACCTTTGAGGTAGTCACATAGCCTGGAACTCCTCCTTATGCAAATAAGGCATTTCCAGTACCTTGGCCCTGGCCAATGACAGACACTCATCCCATAGCCCCTACTCACCTCCAAAGGTTTAAACAGTCTTTGTTCCCCCTAATTAAACGAGCTTCTCAATGAAGCCTGCCTTCCAAGAATTCTTTTTCTCTCTTGCTCACCCTACCAGTCACCTGAGGTCTCCATCACCCCTGCCATTCCCACCTAGCTTTCCCTGTCGGGGCACCTGTCTGGGTCCGATGAGGGCGACTGTGCCTTAAAGGGAATGCAGAGTGGATGGGAACGACTGATTTGACTTCCAAAGCAGCCGGGAGTTTTGCACATTGAGCCAGAGCCTGGAAATATGTAGTCAAGAAAGATTGATTGTACCAGATGTGGTGGTTCAAGGTAACAAGTAATCTTAATACTTGGGAGACTGAGGCAGGAGAATCACCATGAGTTTAAGGCCATCTTGGCCTACAAAATGAGAACCTGTCTAAAAAGTTAGCAACAACCACCAAAAACAACTCAACAACTGTCATGTCTGTCATGTCTAAGAAATGACACTCTTGTAGTGGTACCAAAGTCACCAAAAGAGTCTCAGTAGAGTCTTTAGCTGGAAAAGACCAAAGTCACCAAAAGAGTCTCAGTAGAGTCTTCAGCTGAGTGGTTGGTTTGCTCAGACTCAGAGAATGCACTCGGGTGTCCCTTTAGACACCAGGGAACATAGGCTCTGTCATTCAGGTGGCATCCCTGTCTCTGGCAGCAAGAAGCCTTGACATGCTACTGTACCAGCTCTGCTGCAGGAGGCTAGGGAAAGACCTGTAACCGTATGGGCTGGAATAGCCAGCCTGAGGCAGCCTTCTGCGGCCCAGGGCAATCTGCCTGTAGCAAGCCTGATGTGTCCTGGAGCAGTCTTGGCCTTCTGGGTAGTTATGAGGAGAGAGTTGTGTAAACACAGACTTCCTCAAGGCCCTGCCTTTCAGTTGTTGGGCCAGAGTCTCACATGTTGGTCACCTTTGTAAATAGAACTGATTCAATGAAATAATGATTTTTCCTCTTATAAATTAAAACAAGCTGATGACTAGTAACTGACTGGTCTGTTTAACTTTATCACGTATGTGAGCCAGAGAAAATTCTTTTTCTTGTTGGTTAGTCACAGGTTCACAAGACATTGGAGGAAATGTACCCACTCATTTCAGAAATGTTTCTGAATGCATACTACCTGCTGGTAGCTCTTCAGGCTCGGGGTTGCACATGGATACCTGCCATACCTGTCATGCCTGCCCTCATAGAGCAAAGAACACCTTGGGACAGTTAAATTAACTATCTGTAGATGTGATGAGACAGGAGGGTCAGGAGTGGGGTGTGGTTGGACTCAAGTACAGTGACTGGGCAAGAAAAGCCATAGATGTTGGTGAGGGTACAGAAGAGAGTTCAGCAGGAGGAAGACAAGAACCTACCTGTGTGCTCAGGGATACCTAGAAGCTAGAGTTCAAGTTCAGAGGAGGAATATCCAAGGTGAAGCTTGGCCTTCAGGGCCTTACAGACCTGGGCACCGTGGGAAACTGTTGAGTGTTTGTGTAGTGCAGTGACAGACATGATTGAGGACCTACTGGGCCAGACGTGAGAGAAGTAGTCAGCAGGCTGATGGGGTGTGCTTGGGTAGTAGGTCCCTGCAGATAAGAGCATGCCAACTCTTGGTATCCCCAGAAGGGGAGCCAGTGGGGACATCTAACCCTAACCCTGACTCTGAGCCCTGATGGGTCTGATGGAAGAGGCAGATGTCACAAGCACTTCCATTTGGTTTGAGCACAGCGGGTGACAAAGAACACATGCAAGGAGACAGAGAGTGACAGACTGTTGTGTGAGGTCCCATGATTTATCCAGAGATACAATCCCCAGAACCTTGACAACAAGAGCACAGTGGAGACAGGCCATGTCTTCCCATCACACTGTCCAGCAAGACCAGACGGTGGCAGCACAGGCTCGATGTGGCGTGGAACTCTGCCCTCTGGTGGCCACAGACTGCAGAACTTCCTCTGTGGGTTTGTTGTTTGGTTAGTTGGTTGCTTTGATTTTGAGTCTTTTTTTTTTAAAGATTTATTTATTTATTATATATGAATACACTGTAGCTGTCTTCAGGCACACCAGAAGAGGGCATCAGATTTCATTACAGATGGTTGTGAGCCATCATGTGGTTGCTGGGATTTGAACTCAGGACCTCTGGAAGTACAGTCGGTGCTCTTAACCACTGAGCCATCTCTCCAGCCCTGATTTTGAGTCTTTTGTGACAGATTCCTAACATGTAGCTGAGGCTGGCTAGAACTTGAGGGATCTCCATCTTTGCCTCCCAGGTTCTTGGTTTACAGGTATGTTCCACCAACAGGTATGTTCCATCCTCCTCTCCTTTCCTTTCCATTCCTTTTCTTCTTTCTTCCCTCCCTCCCTTCCTTCTCTTTTTCCTTCCTTTGTTTCTATGCTTGGAATAGAACCAAAGGCACCACACTTAACAGGCAAGCATTCTGCTGTAATTTTATAATTATAATAATGATTTTAATATTCTGATTCTAGTAAGGGTCACTCATGTGACTTTATATCTCACATTTACCTTTCAAGGGACTGAAAAAGTGAAACATAACTTCTAGTTGTGCTTTCTGCAGTTTCTTTTTTTTTTTAAAGATTTATTTATTTATTTTTTGCATATGAGTATACCACCATTGTTCTCTTCAGACATACCAGAAGAGGGAATCGGACCCCATTACAGATGGTTGTGAGCCACCATGTGGCTGCTGGGAATTGAACTCAGGACCTCTGGAAGAGCAGTCGGTGCTCTTAATCTCTGAGCTATGTCTCCAGCCCCTTTCTGCAGTTTCTTGAACCAGAAAGTAAGAACTGCTGCTGCAGAGCTCACACTGTGCACCCGTCTACCAGGGCTGGACGGTGCTTCATGGGATAGGGGTAGAGGCAACTCCCAGAGCTGTATCTGTACTCCCTCAGCCTGTCCTTCAGGGCCAGAGTCTGGTGGTGGGCAAGGCAGGGCAGAGCCCAGAACTAAAGGGGCTCACATGAGTCCCTAAGCACTCAGTCCCCCCAGGGTCACTTGCTCTGTGCTGATCAAAAGTGAGATGAAGGTCTGTGGCCCCAGTAATAAAGGAATTAGGCTTTTTGGTTCACTGGTACCTGGAGCATCCAAACACTCTTATCAGCTGAGGAGCCCATGGCGGGTCTCATCAAGTCAGAAATGAAAAGGAACTGTTCAGAAGGGAATGTATGCTATCCTGATAGCGACAACTGTGCAGCCTGGGTGCTAACAGAACAGCAAGAAGTACACCAGTCATCCTTCAGAGAGAGGCTTCTTAGAATGGATTCATTTATGATCCCGTTCTACCTGAGAAATTTTGTTGTTCTTTCTTGGTTTGGTTGATTGGTTTTGTTTGTTTTTTCAAGACAGGGTTTCTCTGTGTAGCCTTGGCTGTCCTGGTACTCACTCTGGAGACCAGGCTGGCCTCAAACTCAGAGATCCGCTTACATCTGCCTCCCAAGTGCTGAGATTAAAGGCAGATATAGATATATAGATACTGAAGAATGGTGGTAAGGAAATATACTTAAACAGTTTTATATGTGGAACAGAAAACTTTGTATGTACTGTGAAAACGTTGTGATTCACGATGAGCAGCAGCCCTGCCCGAGCTGAGGCGTCTGCGGCAGCTGCTCTTGTTCACTCTGGCTCTTTTGTTCCAGGAGCTGCTGCTGGAGTTTGAATCTGAAGTGCAGAGAAGAGAGCACGAGTTCCAGCTGAGGGCTGATGACATGAGCAATGTAATCCTGACCCATGAGCTCAAGGTAAGTGGCCAGGCCGGGGCTTTTGAAGGGTTTCCAGTCATCAGGTTCACTGTTGCCAGCTTCAATCACCCTGTGCTGCAGAACACCATGCTGTTCCTTTGCTAGTTAGTTAGTTAGTTAGTTAGTTAGTTAGTTAGTTAGTTAGTTAGTTAGTTTTTTGAGACAGGGCTTCTCTGTGTAGCCCTGGCTGTCCTGGAACTCGGTCTGTAGACCAGGCTGGCCTCAAACTCAGAGATCTGCCTGCCTCTGCCAAGTGCTGGGACCATGCCAGGCTTCACACTGTTCCTTTTACCCAGCGACCCGCCTGGAAATTTTCAATCTTTCTCAGATAAAACTACTAAACAAAGAGCTGCAAGGTCTGAGAGAAGCTGGCGCACAAGCAACGGAGAGTCTGCAGAAAGCAGAGACAGAGCACACTGAATTAGAGAGGAAGCTACAGGACCATGCCCGGGAACTCCAGGATCTGGAGGCCATGAAGGATGCTCGGTGTGTGGGGTCTGCTCTCGAGGCACTATGGTCACGGACTGGATCCTGGTGGCCCTGCCTTCCTGGCTTCTTCCAGCTCTACTCTCTGGTCTCTTATGTAACTGCTCTTTACTGATACAGTTTCTGTTTAGGATAAAGGACTTGGAGAGGAAGCTTCACTCCGTACATCTGGCCAAGAAGAAAGCTGAGGAGACTTTCAGGAGGAAGTGCGTATTTCTGTCTGGGTGGTGCCACTGGAAAAGAGTCTGGATCATACTCACTGGAGACAAGCGCCCTGTGACAGACGGGTAGCCTGAGCTGGGAGGCCACTTGGATTGGCTCCATGTTCTACTTCCTCAGACAAGGCTAGGCATCTAGTGTCTCAGAGCTTAAAATGTTTTAAGAGCCAAGACTCTAATCCAGTTCATTGATAAAACACAAACTAAGAATGTCTAAAGCTCTGGATTTAGTCTCCAGTGTCTAAAACAGGCTTTTAAAAATATAACCTTAGTTAAATTGTAACTTTTGTGGGTAAATGAGATGGCTCTTTGAATAAAGTCACTTGTCACCACAGTAGGTGACCTGAGTTCCATCCCTGGAACCCATGTGGTAAAAGGAGAGAGCTGACTCCACACACACGCCCCCACACTAGATAAATAAGTTTAAGACTTAAACGTTAACATTTAAAACTTGGATGTTTTACTAACTAGTTTATAAGTTTTAGACTATAGCCCCAAGCTTTGCCATGACATGGTCACCTGGTTGGTCACCCCTTACTCTCACGGATGTAGACTCTGGGTTCTCTTTTCCCTGCTGACATATCCTGTGCTCAGTGTGGGTTGGACCCAGCCAACAGCAGCAGGTGCTTCACGTTGCCAGGTGTCTGGGACACCCAGGAAGTAGGTGGTATGTTGGCTCAAGACGGAACTTCAGCAGTGCAATTAAAGCATTGCTCCTCCTACAGGTACAACAGGGTTTAGGAGGCGCTGGAACAGCATAGTCAGCAAGGAGTGGGGCTGGGGATGCCAGCTAGAAGCTCAGCTGTGGGCTCAGCCCCCAGGGCAAGAATCATTTACTTTCTCTTCCAAGGAAAACAGTAACTGTAGCTACCACACACCACACACTTAGGCCTCCCAGCCACACTTGGGAGGAAGAAGGGGAACAAATTTTCTCTTGTATTTTCTTGTGCCAGGATTTGTGCAGTACAGACAAACTGATACACTAAGGAAGCACTCAGGAATCTGTCCATCTGGGAGGCAGGTAGCATCAGTTTTCCATGGGCTGCTCAAGCTCCGTTGTCTGCTAGAAGTGCTTTGTGAACCTGCTTTGGTGTCTGTGTGTGAGCTTTTGGGGCCTCTGAGAGCCTGCCGTTTAAGAAGATCTGCTTACGGGCTGAAGAGATGGCTCAGTGGTTAAGAGTACTGACTATTCTTCCAAAAGTCTGAGTTCAATTCCCAACACCCACATGGTGGCTCACAACCATCTTTAATGAGATCCAATGCCCTCTTGTGTGGCTGAAGATAGCGAGAGTGTACTCATATAAATAAAATAAATGATTTTTGTTTGTTTGTTTGTTTTTTCAAGACAGGGTTTCTCTGTGTAGCCCTGGCTGCCCTGGAACTCACTCTGTAGACCAGGCTGGCCTCGAACTCTTGAACTCAGAAATCTGCCTGCCTCTGCCTCCCAAGTGCTGGGATTAAAGATGTGCACCACCACTGCCCGGCATAAATGATTAATTATATAAAAAAAAAAAGAAGAAGAAGAAGATCTGCTTATGTGGGAAGAGCAAGCACCCCCACAAGTTACTCCTGCAGAGCCAGCCATCTTGTCAGGGACAACTGTAGTGTAAGAAAAGATGACATGGCGGGCGGTGGTAGTGCACATCTTCAATCCCAGCACTTGGGAAGCAGAGGCAGGCGGATCTCTGAGTTCGAGGCCAGCCTGGTCTACAGAGTGAGTTCCAGGACAGCCAGGGCTACACAGAGAAACCCTGTCTCGAAAAACCAAAAAAGAAAAAGAAAGGATGACACATACTTTGGAAAGTTCCAGAGCACTGAATGAGCCACCGTGGGACCCTTCCCTGTGTTTCAGACATGAAGAGCTTGACCGTCAAGCCAGGGAGAAAGACACAGTGCTGGCAGCAGTGAGGGGCGCCCATGCAGAGCAGCTGCAGGTGCTGGACACCAAGGTGCTGGAGCTTCAGTTCCGATGTGAAACACTGGAGGGACAACTGCGCAGGGCTGAGCAGATGCGAGCTGAGGACACCAAGGAGAAGAATACCCTTACAGACAAGTGAGCTGCTGCCTCTGGCCCACCCGCCCAACAGCCTTGTGTGCCTGTGCCCAAGGCAGCCATGGGCCATTTTAGAATGGAATTTTACATGCAGTGGGTAGGGGCTTTCTGCCCACCCCAATCTCCACAGCCATTTCTAGTAATTTTTTTTAATTATATAGTTTTTATATTTACGATTACTTGTGATAAGTATATGTAACAAAGTTGACCTATTGTCTTCAGTTTTTGTTTTTCTGAGACAAGGTCTCATTTGTGTAAACTTGGCCCAGAACTTGCTCTATGACTTTGGATGGCCTTGGATTTATAATCCTTGTGCCTCCACCTCCCAAGTGTTGGGACTGCCAACATGTGTCACTATAGCTGGCCCCTTCCCCCCTCTAACTTATCTTTCTTCCTCAACCTCCCAAGTGCTGCTGGGGTTACAGGTGTACAGCACCATGCCTGGCAAAGCTAGCCACGTAATCTTTTTAGTGTTAAGTTCACTGGCATCAGGTTATGATACATGCAATTTCAGCCATCCATCTACAGTACTGTTCCCTTTCAGCTCCAGCTGCCACTCCTTCCCTGGTCTCCCAGCAGCCTCCAGTCTGCACTGTCTGTGAGTCTGCTAACTCTAGGAACAGCACATAAGTTGGAATCTTATGGCACTTGCCCTATGTGTCTGACCTGTCACAGAGACTCAAGTTCTCAAGGGTCATGCACATTTATAGGATGACATTCTCTTTTAAGTTGTGATTGTATCAAAATATGTGCACCTCCAGAAGCCATGGGGCTTTATTGGCCAGCTAGCCTAGCGTACTCAGTGAGCCCTATGTCCCAGTGGGAGGCCTTCTCTCAAGGCAGATGGCTGCTAAAGAGCATCACCCAGGGCTGACCTCTGTCTGACCTGTGTACATGTTCCCGCACATGTGTGTCTGGACATGTCCTCATTCACACTCCTGCACGTACACACAAAATACCATAGCTAACACAAGTTAACTATTTTAGTCACTTGAGCTATGGAGGGCAGTGGTTTGTTAAGTTAAACTTTGTGTCTTTTAAGGCTGATATCCCAGCCTGGACAGGCTGCTCTGTACACATGGGTATCTCCACCTCGGCTATGAGTAACACTGCTTTAGTGCAGGTGTGCAGACTTCCTTCATAGATGTTGCTTTCAGTTCTCTTGTGGACATTAACAGAGTTGGAAATTCAGGACCAAACTTGAATCTCTCTTCTCACTTGTGGGGGGAGTTTGGTGACCTCTGTCCTGAGCATGTACAGGCATTCTGTGACAACCTTAGTACTTACTGGCTTGTCCTCTTGGCGGGTTTGCTCTGGAACCACAGGGCACACATGTAGGATTAAGATAAAAACACAGGTCTGGTAGTGGCATGCCTGCTCCACTTGGAGCTGTCAGTGTTTACTACTGGTCTTCATAGTAAGAGTGCAGTAGCCGTACTGGCAGCTAAGCCAGGCCACATGTTGGGGAAGGGAGGTAGAATGTGAAGGAGGCTACAGTGACATAGGTCACTGGACCAGGTGTTTCTGTGCTGGAAATGTTGGCCTTGGGAGTGTCGGCTGGCCTGGGAAGCAGCCTGGTGAGAAATGTTTCTAAGGGTGTTTCTAGGACCATTTCCACAGTCTCAGATACCAGGGCAGAGTTGGATGGGCTTGCCCAAAGTGGCTACAGATTGATGCTTTCCATGTACCTGTTTTCAGCACTCCGAAAATGTGTGGAGATGTTGGCACAGTGGCCTTTTTCACATTGTACAAGGCCAGGTTTGAAACTCAACACCTGGCTCTTGATCTGGGGCAGCTACTCACCATTCTCTTGTCATGCCCACATTGGACAGCTCATCAGCACAGAGCCCCAGAAGGGATGTGATCATTGGTGCACCTGTGTGACAAAAGCAGAGTTGTTCCCATGAGCAGGGATGGTCTTGCTTAGATCAGTACAATGAGTCCCCTGAAAGTGTCACTTTGTTTTCTGAGGGAAGCTTGTCAGGTTTAGGTGGCTCATCCAGCAGCACTCGACTGCCAAGCCAATGTGTGGACTCTAGAGTCTTGTCCTTTTCACTGAAGTGTGCTAGGTGCTGGGCTGGGCACAGTGAAAGCCGACTCACCGACACCACTTCCTCAATCCCACAGGCTATGTGCACAGATTGCCTTTCCACCTTGCGTAATCTGGCTCTTTATAGTCAATTAGTTAATGTTTGCACAACTGGCTGCTAGATATTTCTTCCTGAGTAGAACCTCTGTCTTAAATTAGGTGATGGTTTGCCTTCTAATGTGGCTCTTTGATGAGGGCTGGGCAACGGTGTGCATTCCTCTGGGTCTGCACAGGAGCATGAGAGAGAGAGAGCAGGCAGGATAGCCTCGCTGCACTCACTCACTCACTCACTCACTCACGTCTTCCTGTGTAGATTTCATGAAGATGCAGCAGCTCTGAGAGCTGCCTGGGATGCCCAGATCGCTCAGATGTCCAAGGAGGCTGTCTCCAAAGACCTTCAGGTTCAGACACTACAGGAAGAAGAAATGAAGCTCAAGGCACAGGTGGCCAGGTTCCAACAGGACATAGACAGGTACTGTCCTCAAGGCAGCCTCCTGTGCTGTTTCCTGCAGACAAGAACCATTACTGGTCCTCAGGATTGAAACCACATCAAACAAACTTGGCCCTGCATCCCTCGGGGAGGAATGATCAATGGGATGAAAGCAGATCGTGGTGGTGGTCAAGACAGCAGACATCCAGGCCCAAAGACTTTGATATGAGGAAAAAGGAAAAGCAGCCAAGAGTTGGTGTGGTGGTGAGCAGTGGCCGTCTTCCTCTGCCATCAGCTTGCAAAGGCAGACAGATTACCATGATTTCAAGGCCAGCTTGGTCCACATAACACTGCAGGACATCCAGGGCTACATAGAGAGACTCCGTCTCAAAGAGAAGGAAAAAACAAACAAACAAACACCATGCTTGTTTTCCCATTCATTGCATTAACTTATGCTTGAATGAAGGTAGGGGCCTGTTTCCATAATGTCATTAATCAGATATAATAAAGCATTGTCCACAGGATGAATCTGGATGGGCATACACATCTACACCACACCACTCTATCTAACCCAGACCCCCTCAGGTCTGTGGCCAGCCCCAACCACCCCACCCCCAACTACGGGCTCCCCTAGGGGAGGACCTTCATGGACTGGACTTCCAAGTGGTGGCCATAATGTGGCTTTTGACCCTGGCTTCTTTGAAGATTTATTTATTTATTTATATTATGTATATAGTGTTCTGCCTGTATGTATCCTGCAGGCCATAAAAGGGCACCAGACCTCATTATAGATGGTTGTGAGCCACCATGTGGTTGCTGGGAATTGAACTCAGGACCTCTGGAAGAATAGACAGTGCTGTTTGTTTGTTTGTTTATTTGTTTGTTTGTTTTGAGACAGGGTTTCTCTGTGTAGCCCTGGCTGTCCTGTAGACAGTTCTCTTAACCACTGAGCTATCTCTCCAGCCCCAACCATGGCTGATGCTTTTTTTTTTTTTAAGATATTCCTCTGATATTTTTTTCTGTCCGTTTTGGTACTTTGTGCTCGTCTGTCCACTCATCTGTTGTCCCTGTCCTTGGTTCCTGTAATCTTAGTGCTTGTGAGTGGACAGCAAAGGCCTCTTACTTATGACACTGCTCATTTGACATCTTCCCCTTTACCCTAGACCAGCCTCACTGGAGGCTTGTCGGTTCTATCAATTATGCTGATCTTTGTGAAGAACCAGCTTTGGATTTGATTATCTCCATTGTTTTTTGTTGTGGTGGAGGTGGTGGTGGTTCTATTTCCTTTGGCTTTGGTTTGTTGTTCTGATCGATCTTGATATCGGAGCCAAGATGATTAACTATGAGCCATCCTTCCTTCTATCAGATGTAACTAGCGTTGGGAGTTTCCTTTCCAGCACAGCTCAGCTTGTGCTTGGGCATGGCTCCCTCTCAGCTCTGTCTTCAAAATGATGTGACATTTTCACCAAGTGCACCTGCGTTGGGGTTGTACTGGCTGCCCGCCACACTGGCCTTTGTACGGCTATGAACAGGCCTGTTTGTCCCCCTCTGTCCACAGACTACTGTCTGGCATGGACCCTCAGCCCGTCTGCTTTTTCAGCCTTTGTGCCCCCATGACACATGCTCCAGTTTTGCCTCTTAGGTCTCTGTTTAGAGAACTTACACAGTAGTCCTGGCTTAGGTTTAACCGCTTCTCCTCTCTGTCTGTGCACTGGTTCTCTCTGTTGAGTGTGGCCCCCTCCCTCCAGCCCTGTTTTCTCCAGCATGTGTTGAAGCCCTTCATGTTTACCTGTCCACAGGTGCTGTTGTTTCTCCAGGTCTCTCTTAGGACAGCTTCTCCTCACACCATGCATGTATCCTTCCTCAGCATGAGCCACGGGCTCGATGGGAAGGAGGGGCGGAGCATCATGTCAGCCCTCAAGTTTCATCCCACCTTTGCTCTTCATGTTGAAGGGACCTCAGGAGAGAAAGTTAACGTGGGCCATCACATGTGTCTGTAGGTACAAGCAGCAGCTGTCCCTGGCAGTGGAAAGGGAACAGAGCCTCGAGCGCGAGCAGGTACAGCTGGGCCTTGACTGGCAGCGTCGCTGTGATGACATCGAACGGGACCAGATCCAGAGATCTGAGACTTTGATCCAAGGGCTGACCAAGGCCAGAGATCAGGTGTGTTGGGTACTCCGGGTGTAGAATATGAGCAGTACTGTACCGGATGGGTTTGGCCCTCGCCATATTATTTTTTAACTCAGAAAACTCCAAACTCAAATACCAGTTAATTTATAGCCATGAGTCATGGTCATGCTGATGTAGTAATGCAGCCCTGAAATCCCAGCTGCTCAGGAAAAGGAGGCAGGAGATCTCAAGGCCAAGGCCAGCCTAGACAAAAGTAAGTCTCTGCCTTATCCCCAAACATGTTTAGGGACTGGTTCTGGGAGTGCTGAGATGGTCCCTACCCATTGGGATGGCCCTGCCCAGCCAGGGTAAAACTAGGTACCATAACTGGACAGGAAAGCCCTCCTTCACCAGTGGAGGGTGGCCCTAGCATTCTGAGTGCTACATATATATTGGCTCTTGTGGCTGTTCACTTCCTCCTGCTGTCTGCTTTTTAAGCAGAAGGGAGTCTGGTCCCTAAAGTCCAGCACTGCCCACAGATGGACATGTTCACAGGTTGCTGCTAAGCTCCAGGAGACAGAGAGGGCATTGCAGAAGCAGGAGACATTGCTGAAGGCTGTGTCAGTGGAGCGAGACCAGGCTATGGAAACTCTACGGACACATGGGCTCCTCCCGGGACAGGAGGCACAGGTGGGTGTCCTGCTGGCTCGAAGAGCCTTCACTCCACACTTAGTGTCCATTACATTGGCTCAGGCTTTCTCAATCCAGCCTCTCGATGACAGCTGCTCCAGCGAGGGCAAGTCCAAGCTTCAGTTTTAAAGCAGGCAGGCCAGTATGTAGTAAAGCAGGCAGTATGTAGTAAAGCAGGCAGTATGTAGTAAAGCAGGCAGGCGGTATGTAGTAAAGCAGGCAGTATGTAGTAAAGCAGGCAGGCAGTATGTAGTAAAGCAGGCAGTATGTAGTAAAGCAGGCAGGCGGTATGTAGTAAAGCAGGCAGGCAGTATGTAGTAAAGCAGGCAGTATGTAGTAAAGCAGGCAGGCGGTATGTAGTAAAGCAGGCAGGCGGTATGTAGTAAAGCAGGCAGGCGGTATGTAGTAAAGCAGGCAGGCAGTATGTAGTAAAGCAGGCAGGCAGTATGTAGTAAAGCAGGCGGTATGTAGTAAAGCAGGCAGGCGGTATGTAGTAAAGCAGGCAGTATGTAGTTGTAACTGCCGTTTCTTTTGTAACGGCCGTCAGGTTCTGCTACTTTGTAAAGGCCGGCCGGTTCTGCTGCTCCGGTCGACAGGTCAGGGTCTAGCAAGAGAGAGAGTGGGGACGGAGGAAGGGGAAAAAAGGGGCGAGAGACGCAAAAGATAGATACAAGACAGAGTCCGGTGGCGTCTCTTCAAGTCTCTTCTTTATTCTCCTCTCTTCTTACTATCTTCTCCTCACTCCTTCAGTCTCCTGACACCTCCCACCTTCTACCTTCTACCTCCTACCTTCTACCTCTACCTCTATATCCTACTTCCTACTACCTCCTACTTTCTACCTCCTCAATAGAAAGGAAATCCGGGTATTTATACCCTTTACCACGTGACTTGCCCTCGTGGACAATCTCAACTGAAGCCACTACGTCACGTGCCTTGTAGCCATGGATACCAGGAGCACCTTGCAGCTGGGGGCACTAAACAGTGTAACAAGATGTCTATCAGAGTGCGCTCAGCTATTGCAGGCTGTTGAAACAAGTCTCTTGTCAGGGTATATGGCTCAAGATGGCTGTAAAGATGATAGCCACTTTCGGCTAAGAGTCGGCTCCCAACATGTAGTAAAGCAGGCAGTATGTAGTAAAGCAGGCAGTATGTAGTAAAGCAGGCAGTATGTAGTAAAGCAGGCAGGCGGTATGTAGTAAAGGAGGCAGTATGTAGTAAAGCAGGCAGGCGGTATGTAGTAAAGCAGGCAGTATGTAGTAAAGCAGGCAGGCAGTATGTAGTAAAGGAGGCAGTATGTAGTAAAGCAGGCAGGCAGTATGTAGTAAAGCAGGCA